GTTATAAGGTCAAGCCTAATTATGCTAAGAGGACTGTGCCCTCTAAGCTGGGACTTGTTTGTGACTTTGCCAGCAGGTCAGTCTGAGGCTTAACCCTATATCAGTTTCCCACACAACTGCTCAGAATTTTTGTTTTTAATTGATGAGAGAGAGAGAGAGAGGGAGACATCAATTTGTTTTTCCACTTATTTATGCATTCATTGTATGTGCCCTGGTTGTTTCTTATATGTGCCCTGACCGGGGATCAAACCCATAAATTTGGTATATCCGGACAATGCTCTAACCAACTGAGCTACCTAGCCAGGGCCAAGAGGCACTTATTAAATACTAGAGGCCCGGTACACAAAATTTGTGCACGTGTAGGGTCCCTAGGCCTGGCCGGCAATCAGGGCCTATCTTTGGGGTGACCAGTCGGGCGATTGGGGGATCCCCACTGTCACCTGCCTTGGCCGGCCTGGCACTGCCTGCTCACTAGCCAGCCCCACCCACCACCACTGCCATTGATCACCTCCCTCTGCAGGGCAACCGGCAGGGCGATCAGGGGGCCCCCACTGGCACCTGCCTTGGCTGGCCTGGGGCCTGTGGGCTGGGGGCAGCTCCTGTGTTGAGCGTCTGTCGCCTGGTGGTCAGTGTGCATCACAGCGACCGGTTGTTCCACCATTTGGTCAATTTGCATATTAGTCTTTTGTTATATAGGATTATTTTTATACCTGGGGAGAAAGTGAAGTTTCTGGGTGATTTTTCAATTTTTTTGTGTATGTTTTAAAGATACAATTAATACACACCCATTAAAGGATTTTTAGGAAAAAAAGAAACTAGGCAAGAAAAAATTACCTAACAATCACAGTATTCATTTTCTTCCAGTGTCTGTTCTATAAATAGGTAACAAGTTTTATTTTAATGTTATATCCTGCTTTCCCCCATCTCATCATCACACCTCAAGCATCCTTTATGCTGTAATAGTCTTAATAATCATTAGTTTTAATGACAGCCTACCATCTTGCCTGGCGATGGCCCATCAGCTCGCTTAACTAGTCCCCTGCACCTGGACAGAATTATTCTCCAGTTTTCCATCTTATTGTGAGGACTCAGCAGTTCGCTTGCAGCACTGCCACCTAAGTGTTAACAATCGTTCCAGATACAGCTACCTACGTCTGACTAGAGAGAGAGCCGCTATTCCAGGTAGTGCTGAATTCCCCAAAGTTACTTAGGATTTTGTTCTTGCAAATGACTCCTCAGAGAGGAATCATGGGGGGAGCGGTGTCCAACTCTCTCAGTATCAGAATCTCAGTGGTGTTTCCCAAGGGCTGAAACTGACTTCAACCTCCCTCCTAGCTTTGTAAATGGTGATACCCACTCAGCAGCAGCCATTTCCGTTTCGCTTGCTTTTAGTACCAACGGGGCTGAGTTTTCAGGGGAAATGACATAGTAAGAAGCCTCAAATCACCCACCAGCGCTGTCCTTCCTTGACAATTGCTCACAGCCTTTAAAGGCCCGGGTGGGCCCCTGCTGTTTGCCATATTACATGCAGCCCCACAAGTTGCCAGATTGAGCAAATAGAAATAAATACAGAAAGCCAGTGTGATTGGGATCTCTGATAAACAATGACCAACTTTTATTTTAGTATAAGTACATCCTAAATGAGCTGTGGGGTATACTTCAACTTTTTATTTTTAAATCTTTTTTTTTAAGTATCACTGTTTTTATTGATTTTAGAGAAAGAAGAAGGAGAGAGAGAGAGAGAGAGAGAAACATTGAAGTGAGAATGTGAGAGTGAGATGTGAGAACCATCCATCGGTTTCCTCCCTCACGACCAGGGATGGAACCTGAAACCTGGCTATGTGCCCTGACTGGGAATCGAACCCACAACCTTTCAGTGTACCGGACGATGCTCCAATCAACTGAGCCATACGAGCCAGGGCTATACTTAGACTTTTATTATTTAGAGAGAAGGGAAAGGAGAGGGAGAGAGAAACATTGGGGTGAGAGTGAAACATTGGTCAGCTGCTTCCTTCACACCCAAAAAAGGTCAAGCTGTGCCGTCAGGGACCGTCCGGCATCTTGGTGTGAAGGACAGACTCGAGGCCTGCTGGGAGCTCCCTGGACAAGGTTCCTGACTGGTCTGCTCATCGAAGGCAGCTTGCCTGACACCCACAGCCTGACCTCCAGAAAGTTCTTCTGTCTTTGTGCTCCATCTCCCATTCCCTCGGGGTAGAATCAGACCTTTCTAACTTCTTTTTTTAAAAATATTTTTTAAAATTTATTTCAGAGAGGAAGGGAGAGGGAGAGAGAGAGAGAAACATCAACAATGAGAGAAAATCATTGATCAACTGCCTCCTACTGGGGATCAAGTCCACAACCCGGGCATGTGCCCTTGGCCGGATTCAAACCCAGGACCCTTCAGTCCACAGACTGATGCTCTATCCACTGAGCCAAACAGGCTAGGGCGAATTCTCTTCTCTTGAAGTAGACAGTGGTATGTCTGTAGGCAGCAATGTGTCTATTGACGTGGCCTCTGCTCAAATTAGCTTTTTTGACTGGCTCTAGTCCTTCATTTCATAGATAAGGGGGCTGAGGCTCAGTGAGCTGCTCAATGTCACTCAATGAGTTGGTGGCAGACAATCCCGGGAACCCAGTCTCTGGCTCCAGGGGGTATCGGAGGGGTGTACAGGCTGGTGAACAATGAGTGCCTGGTATTCAAAACCCAGGCCCTGTCCTTGGTGCGTGCATGACACCGAGAATGTTTCTTTAGCCTCTCTACTGAGCCTCAGTTTCCTCATCTGTAAAATGGGGACTTTTAAAAAAGTATCCGTTGTTTATGGGAGAGAGTGCCTGAATCCACCATTTGAAGCCACGTCAGTGTGACTGTGACCTTTATCTGCCACCTGGGGTCAGTCTGTCCTCTTCTCCAGGGAGTGGGACGCCTGTGCTGATCGGATGCCAAGGGTATAATCTCTATTAGGAAACCTGGGTATGTCCAAGAGGAGCTAGGATTGTTTGTTTTGTGGGGTAAAGATTTTGCCTGATTACATTAGTGGGTAAAGGTTTGTTTTCTTTTGGGAGAGCCAGAAATATCCAGGCCGCCTGGCCCCAGAACGGTTGGTGGGATAGGTCCGAGCAGCTTCCTCCACGTCACCCTGAGGAAAGCCCTGCAAGGATTCTCAGTGGGAAAAGAGCGCATCTGAGCCTTAAGAAGGGGACAGCGGGGGGGAGGGGGAGAGCGCTGTGGG